CATGGCTGCCATGAGTTGAACAGGTTTCCTCTGCCATGCCCTTCTGCCATGATGTTTCTGCTTTGAAGGCAGCCAACCATGGACTGAACCTTCTGAAAGTGTGAGCCAAAGTAAAACTTTCTTCCTTTGAGTATGTCGGGTATTAAGTCTCAGCAACAAATAGCTGACCAGATCAGCATCATTTCTCCATTATTATTTTTTTTCTTTCCTTTTTTCATTTCTCCATTATTAGCCTCAAATGCATCATTTATAAAGGAGAGGCTGAACCTCACCTTTGCTTCTTAAAATTATTTCCTGAAATGTCCTAAGCAGAGAGAACATATACTCACAAAATTCACAATGATTTTGCATCTGCATGAGTGGTACATTAATTTTAAGCAAAATGTTTTGTTCTTAAATTAGCATTGAGTTATGAAAACCATGGCCCCAAAAGGCTGAATTGTGCTCATCCTGAAAATCCATATATTTCTCGGTGACTGCTTCAAACTCCTAGGGATCCAGGCCGAGAGGTGGGTAAATTCCAAGGTCCTTGCAGTCCTCCAGTATGGCTCTGAATGCTCTGAACTGCCTCATGTAATTGAAGTGGCTGTGGGTATGAAGGACACTGAATGGGCTATTTGGAACTCTGACTCAGATGGCACAATCCATCTTTCAGTGTCACGGATGCTTGTCCAGCCTGTGGCTCCACGTCATCCAACTGTGAGTAATGGTCACGATTCATCTACAAGCATCATTCAGCTTCGCATTTGCTCTACATTTAGACTTGTTCCCTGAGACTTTGCAAACAACAGCCCATTTTTGAGAAGCCCTTCAAAAAAGAGAAATAGAAAATGGCTTGAAATGGAAAACAACTTGAGGCCCAGGACCACGCTCCATTCTGCACAGATGGGGCAAGAACGGATCTGAGGGTCGGAACAAAGCAGCAGACGCAGACTCGTGACCAGAACGCTCTCTAAGCTTCAGTGTGATTGTGACAACCACCAATCCTGGAAATTTGCTGCCATGGTTCGAATGTAGCTCGAGTGTCCCCAAGGGTGAGTGTATTGATATTTAATTGATACACCATGTATATCAATTGATATACTATATATATGTATTGATATACTATGAGGTATATTAAGAGGGTGGAAACATAATTCAACTGTAGTGTTTAGAAGTAGAAATTTTGGGAGGTGATTAGGATTAGACAAGGTCATCAGGATGGAGCCTCATGCTTGAAAACTGTGGCTAGACAGGAAAAGAGAGGCCAGATGTAGACAAATACATATGCCCCCTGTCCGTTACTATGTGATGTCCTGTGCTACCTTAAGGTTCTGCCAGCAAGAAGGCCACCTTGATCTTGGACTAGAACCCTGAGCTAAATAAATGTGTTTTCCTTATAAGTTTTTCCAAGCTTTGGTTATTTCATTATAGCAATGAAACACAGACTAACACTGAAAGCAATGCAAGGAATGACAAAGAAAAAGGCCTGGCTCTTTCTCCCCATCTGTGCTTCCCCTTGGGTTGAATAATTTGCCAAACTCTTACCCAGCTCATTGCCATGATCCACAGACCTTCCCAAGAGTCCAGAGAGCCCCACTAGCTCAGCTAGTATAAAAGCTCCCCAGCGAATTCCTGAAAGGAGCATTTGTGCTGTGTGACAACAGAGGTCTCGAGACCTGGGTAAAGCCCACGAAGGTTATCCGTAAAACCGAGAAAATACAACGCCCCACAGGGTTCTGGTAAAGATTAAACCAGGGGGTAGGTAACAAACCACGGCCTGAGGGCTGAAGTCTTCTGAGGCCTGTTTTCATATGGCCCCCGGATAAAAATGGATTTCACAGTTCAAAACAGTTACATAACAAAAGCAAAAACTAAACCAAAAAGAAAAACACAATAAAACTAGAATATGCAACAGACTGCACGGCAGTCCTCTAAACTTCAAATATTTGCTAGCTGTCCTTTGCAGGAAAAGATTATAGGTTTTAGGATTAAAGGAGGAAATATTCTTGAAAATAATTGGCACACAGAGTTTAGCATGCAGAGAATGTCACAGAAAAAGTGGAGTTTCACTGCCTAAACAGAGAAGTTTCTGGGTGCAGTTTAGTTGCAAGAAAGGGTGTAATGAATTCAGTAGATGGAACAAAATTTGTAAGACTTGTAGGCTGTATAAATATTATTATTTGGTCTTCCCTCCTTGTTGGTCTGCTAGGGCTGCCATGACTTGCTAGGTGGCTTAGATAACAGAAATGTATCTCTTCACAGTTCTGGAGTCTAAAAGTCCGAGATTAAGGGGCCAGCAGAGATGCTTCCTCCTGAGGCCTCCACCCTGAGCTGGCAGACAGCTGCTTTCTCACTGTGTCCTTGAACGGCCTCTCCTCTCTCTGGTGTCCTGTTGTCTCTTCGATATGCACACTGGCCAGATTAGATTAGGTTCCACTCTAATGGCCTCATTTTACCTTGTGTCTTTAAACGTCCTGTCTTCAAATATAGTCACATTCTCAGGTACTGGGGGCTATGGCTTCAACATAGGAATTTGGGGAGGACATAACTCAGCCCCAAATGCTCCCTTAAGTTAATAAGATATTAAAGTTTACCAATTCTAATGTTTTTACATAGAAAAAGTAACCCTAAGGCACAAAGAAGTGTTATGATTGTGCTATGGTGAGGCAAGGCCAGTCCTATTTTAGGGGATCTTTAAGTGGTAGGCACCTGGACCTTTCCCAAAGTAGCAGAAATATTTACTACACCCCACAACGTCATCCGCTCCCCACATTTCCCAGCTTTGTGCCCTCAGGCAAGGCCACAGGACTTATTTGAGCCAATGGGCTGTGAGAGGACGCAATATCCTCTTCAAAGAGCACTCAAAGCTGGTGGAAGACTCTCCTGCTCACCACATTTGGCAGTAGCAGCCAGAGAAGCTTCACGTTAAATTGATGGAGCTAGAAGCCAGAAGCATCCTGGGTCCCTGAGTTACCACACAAAGAACTGTTTTGGAGTTACTGAGCCTCAGGAAACCTTGTGTAGGAAACAGATCTTTATCAGCAAGGTCACAATTTGTTGAATGTGTTGTGAAAGCAAAGTCTGATCTAACACACTGGCTGCCGATGAAGGGGTCATGGCTTAGACCTGCCATGAATGTGCTGCCCAACTTTGGAGAAGTCTTGTTCCCTAGACAGGACTGCAATAGCCCTTTTCCAGGTGGCTATGGTAACGGGTCTAGAAAGTATACATTTTTTTTTTTATGATACAAAACTTAAAAAGTCAAAGCCTTTGGTTCCCAAATAGTTTCGGGCCATCTTCTGAGAAGGGAATACAAGTAACTTGGGCCCTTAAGTCAGAGCCATTTAATTTTTTACCTGTGAATAATAGTTCCCTGGCCTTGTCCTCTCCACATCCAGCCATTTTAAGTTCCTGGATGTGGCTGCCCAAAATGCCTCATTATCTGCACACCAGCTCAGGCATGCATATCTGTGGGAGGGGGCTGCCAAGCCTGAGATGCTTCTATCTTCTCGGTCCAAGTCCACTACCCACCCTTCCCATCCCCCATTTCTGTGTGCTCACAGACAGCAAGTCCTAGACCTCACCGTATGCTGTGAAAGCACATCTACAGAGAAGGACAAATCTGTACCCCCTTTGTCTTTGGAACCAGATGTCTGAAAAGCTCCCTTAAAAAAAACCCTCCCACAAATAATACACTCATTTACTACTCAGGAAACACGCTCCTTTCATTGAAAAGTGATGACATTAAATTGAACCAGCTCCCAGTATTGCTCTCCGTTATTCTCACTGTGCCTGTGGCACATGGAAGATCCTACAAAGAAAACAAATACAATAACCAAGAGGCTTCCAGACCTCCCCTCAAAATATAACAGTCTTGCATTCTTTCTGAAATTTTCTCACTTTATGATACAGCTACATGCAAACAGTTTAAGTGATTTCATCTAGTAAAATCCAATGCCTTTTGATAGGTAAGTAGATAATAAGGCTATCCAAGGGTTGTTGCTTGCTTGGAAGATCTATCGAGGATGAGAGTCCAAAAAGAACACTGTCTATCTCCAGCTTCCATATTTAGTGATGGGTGCTGGAAAGAGTGTGATGTTCAAGCATCGGCAGAGTCGGGAAAGTTATACACAAAATTGTGCAAAATTTCAAGAAGTCACATAATTTTGAGACTAACTTAAAAATGCAAAGACTGGTTCCTTGTAGGAACCTCAAAAATACCTGTTGCCATGACAGCTTGAACTGCTGTTAGCTTTTTCCTCTGACCACAGTGGCCACACTCTGATTTCTCTGTGACCTTAAGGACACTGGCTCCAGTGCCAGCTCATGCAGGACTCAGGTGTCCTTAAACTACCAGGAGCCCCAGGTTTCTCTTCATCAAAAAGGCCAGGCTTGGGACTAAGTTTCTGTCTCCTCAAAAATGTCGTGCTTCTTACAAGAAAGCATCAAAACTCGACACTTGCTCTTTTATCTCACCAATCAAACTTGGGAGAGAGCTTTGGGTAGTGAGAAAATAGAGTCCTTCTACTTTCTAGCCACGCCACCCTCTAAGCCTTCATTCCCTAGTCTGAAAGGGGACACAGGGTTGAAGCAAGGTAGCACATATGAAAAACACTGTGGGAACAGGTCATGAAGTGATAACTGATCCAAACATCGAATCTAACCCCCACACCTCCACAATCTTACCCCATCATCCCTCATCTGGGGCTAAGACAAGGACAATACCCAGAAGCAATGTTTAGCATTCTTCACGAGACATTTCAGAGGCACCATGGGAAATCTGAGCCCTTCAAACTAAAAAGTGCTGACTCATCTTGAACTGCCACGTGCAGTATGTCCGATAGTCCTGTGCAGACAGACCTGCTGCAGGTGAAATACAGCAGGGATGCCGGAGTAGAATATACTCCCAAACACCCCTCAGCTCAATTCCCACTTAGATCTAATTAGTCACGGGCCAAGAACTTAGGCAATTGACTGTACTCTTTACTACGTATTATCAGCAAATAAAGAAGCAGTCATAGTGAGGAAAAAGTATATTTCACAGTCATTATAAAAGTACATATATTTAATAATGGTGACATAAATATAGTCCTTATTTATGACCAAATCATACAATTAAAACGGACTTTTCCCCCTGGACTTCGCCCTCGCGGCAGGTGGGTCATTTCCGTCAGTAGCTACAGGCTGACTGAAATCACAGGCAGAGGCAAATCAAGGGACAGTCATGAGTCAAAGGGACAACACACTCCATACTTACCAAAGGGGTAGTCAAGTTTTCCATATAAATATAATAAAATAATACAGAATTGAACATTTCTTCTTTCACTCAGTTTCATAGATTTCTTTGGTGCTCACACACACCAAAAATACAGCTTATTCCCTTTCCTCAAAGCCCTCTCCTCTCACTGATTCAGAGTAAGCCTGAGCCCGGAGTCCACGTTGCCAATGGCAACCTGGCGGCTGGTGGTACCACATCTGCAGCAGCTCTCGAAGAACAATCAACATGTTCTCCACAAGCTAACAATGGGGAAACACAGGTTGGCAGGAAAGTAAAATGCAGGAAAAGAGACATGAGGGTCGACAGAAAGTTCACGGTGCACTGGTACTTGTTTTCCCAGCCTGCTCAGCGGGGCGTTGTAGGTGGAAGCCATCTTGACAAAAGGATTCTCCACCCATTGAAAATCAAGCATTTCATGTCAAAAGGAGAGAGGGTCTTTTGGATGATTCTTTTTTCTCTGCTTAAAAAGCTCCATTAGAGCTGGGGTGATCTCATCCGAGGGATTGAGCAGCCCCAGGTTCAGCCAACACAGCTAGGTGACTTCCACAGTTAGCTCGAGATCTGGTTTCTCCTTGCCGAATCAGAGCTGGGAGGGGCCCAAGGAAGTCTCCGCTGCAAAGGGCTCGCTGCTGGGGCAATGAAGGCTGTTGTGCCATTCTCAAGGGACGTGGCCCACCTTGGGATCAATGGACTGAGGTGACCCCTGGAGTGGCCACAGTGGTAGTCTCTGGTCACATCTACACTGCATAGTCAAGAGTTGAAAATTCCTGCCAGGAACGGTGCGCATGCTCATTATCCCATCTACTTGGGATGCTGGGGCAAAAGAATGTTAAATTCAAAGGCAGGCCGGGCAACTTAGTGACATCTTATCTCAAAATAAAAAAATAAAAAGGGCTGATGATGTAGCTCGGCACTTGAGTACTTGCCTAGCCCTGGGTTCAGTCTCTAGTACCACAAAAAAAAAAAAAAAAAAGTGAAAATTATTTAAAGATTCCAGGCCATTCCACAGCCCATCTCCTAAACTAACTGCTACCCAACCTGTGCCATCTCAGTCCATTGATTCCAAAGTGCACCAATTTTTCCCCTTCTTGCAATTCTGCCCATGACCGAGTGTCTCCTGCCAAAGGCCAGGGCCCAGGCCCTCTGCAGAGAAAGCCCCTATCAGGCTCCAGCTGGATGCAGTCAGACAACAGCAGGGTGTACAAAACGCACACACGGGGATAGCACAGTCACAAAGCGGAGACACATCTTTGGTTCAATCCTTGGTAAAAGGTGCGAAAACACGGCATGGACTGAAACCCTGTTTGGGGGGTGCTGCTTTCCTAGAGGAAGGAAGCGTCCTGTATGTGAACACGCGCCCTGCCCAGCGAGCCTGTTCCCAGCTCACAGCACGAGCTGAGATCTTGGTCTCACTTGTTTCCTGGGCAGAGTGAACGCCACACGGCACGGAGGAATGTTGCCCTCTTGCCACCCGAATCCTGCCGCAGCGCTCTTTCTCTCTGTAAAGAACCAGCTACGTCCCATGCCTTCTTACAGGGAAGGATCTTGGCTCTGTTGGTGCAACAGAATGAACACAGGCCAGCCGGGCTCTTGCCCCTCCTACAGGCCACTGTGGTCCAATGCCCTTAAAAACCACCTGAGCCAGTTTTTCTGCCCTCTGTGCTGCCTCCTCGCCTGCAAACATGAGTTTGGTCAGACTGCTTTTCATCTCTCCACCCAGATTTCTAAAACTCATGCTATTTCAATTTTTTTTTCCTTTTTCCAGTACTGGGAATCAAACTCAAGACCTTGTGCTTGCCAGGGAGGTGTGGCACCACTGAGCTACATCCCCAGCCCTATTTCAATTTAATGACATCCCATAAAGAAAAAAATTTCTTTGGACAAGTCCAGGCATCGGTAAGTCCCCTCCACCATCGCCACCAAAGTCTTGCTTGGGAGGGAGTTTCCTTCAGCTGTTTTCTTCCATCAGGGTCCAGACTGTTCCATCTTTAGCCCGAGGATCTGCTCCATGTTCCTTGGGTTCCTGGGGCCCAGTGCGCTGGGACACCGCTAACACCCAGCTGCAGAGATTCGCTGTTAGTTACCAAGAGAAAGGCCGCTTCACTCCAAAGGAATCAGCTATAAGGCCTCGATGAACAGACCTTGGATGCTGCGGGTCTCTCTGAGGCTGGGACCAACTGCTGAGCAGAGAGCGGTCCCTGAGCAGCACACAGGCAGCACAGAGTGAAGAAAGAGCTGTAAGGGTCGGGATCAGTCTTGTCGGATGCCTGGTTTTCAGCCTCGAGCCCAGCAGTGGGAGACAGAAGAGGGCTTGGTGAGTGGGTGGGAGGAAGGACAGTCTGAGGCTGGAATCGACCGCCCCAGTAGCCAGGACTCCTGGGGATTTCCAGCGTCTCAGGAGTCCCCAGGTGAGGTTGGGTTGTGCAGGCTTTGGGTGTGTGGATTTGGGCTGACCCATGGTTGGGAGGTTGCACAACAGGTATAGAAGAGGTCTTTGTTCACACCCTGACAGATGTGTGGAGCTCTGTTCTGTTGCTTTCCTTAGAGACCCAGAATCTCGCCAGTCCAGGTTAACACTGGCCCTTGACCCCATCAGCCAGGTCAAAGGTGAGGCTGCTGGGGGCTGTGGGCTGCAGCGGGGGCATGCTGGCCTCCGGGGGCCTCTCCACCGGGGGCTGCAGGCTCTGGTGGCGCTTCCGAAGCATCTGTCCGATGCCCATCATGGGGAACCTGCCCCGGCTCTTCACACAGTTGGGGCTCCCCAGAGGCTGTGTGGGGCCATTGCTGGGAAGTGGAGGTGGAGAACACACCCCCTCCTCTTTTGGGGGGCTGTTCTTATCCTCGTGAGCAAAAGAGACCAGAGTGGGGTGCAAAGGAGTTTGGAGAGGTGCTGTGCTTCCAGACAGCAGCCCTGGGGACAGTGTCCTCTCGTTGGAATTCCTTCGAGCCAAGCTCACTGGTGAGTTCAGGATCCTATAGCGATGGGATGGCGACAGGAGTTCTATGTGGTCATCGCGGTCGACAGACTCGAAGGAGCGCACCATGTCTAGCATCAGGGGGTCTTCCCGGGGGGGGATGCTGATGCTCCCAGGCCCTTGCTGATGGGAGTCCAGTTTCTTTAGGGTCCTGGGGGTCCTGGGAGGTGGGACAGGGATGAATTCCATGGAAGAAGAGGCCACACAATTGGAATCAGAGGTCTTGCGGAAAATACTGCGGCAGCCGAAGGAATCTGCACATCAAGAAAACAAACAAAATCAGGATGACAACCACAGAGACAGTGCACAGGGCCCTTCTCTTGCCAGTGCGGACCAACACTTGACTGAGTCGGTGACCCTTGGACGGCAGGAGGTGAGAAAGAAATGGCTTAGCTACAGCAGAGAGGAGACGTCTGTAGCATCTGGTCATGCCACATAGGGTGACCCTAGGATGAAGGGTGCAGGAGGAGGTCTCAGTTTAATACAGGCTTTCTGTTTGGTGGCTTAAAATTCTAAACCCTGCCAAAGGGGTTTTGAATAGAAAGGCACATGTGCTCAATGGGACATCTATAAAACTTCCGGAACAGTGCAGAGCCTGACTCACTGAACCCCTCCAAACCTGGTCATCTGACACTGGAAAGACTTTCCCTGACATACCCCCTCAGTACCCAGTTTATTATAGTACAAATACACAGCAGAAATGTTATCACCTTAACTGTTTTTAAGTGTACAGTTCAGTAGCATTAAGTATATTCACTTTGTTGCACAATCTCCACAGCTATTTTCATCTGGCAGATCTAAGACTCTGTGCCTACTAAGCACCAACTCCCCATTCTCCTGCCCCTTCCCCTCTTGGCAGCCACCATTCTACTCTGCCCCTGTGAATCCAACTGCTCCATACCAGTGGGATCATACAGTGTCTGCTGTGCTGTGATGGGTTCATTTCCCCCAGGCTCATCCTGGTTGTACCATGTGTCAGGATTCCCCTCCCTGGTAAGGCTCCCTCGTGACTTTGATCTTCATGCATCCAGATCCAATTCTGAGCAGGGAAGTTCATCTGTATGGCTCAGGCACCCAGCCAGGCCACACGGTTCCCATCTCAGGTTGGCACAGACTGGAATCCAGGTTTGCAAACTGTGCCAGAAGTGAGGGAGACCCCTACAGGTTTGGAGCAGAGGGAAATAAAGCCAAATTCATGCAGAGTAAGCTCTGTCTTAGATTCTTTTCTCTGCATAACACTTCATAGGTCCCACAGAAGCCCGGCTGCAGGAGCAAGCTGCTACCTATTGGGAGTGGTTTCGGGAGCCATGGAGGACACTGGGACTCCTCTTTGCCTACATAAATAAATACAGACACCAAAACAAACCTCCTCCTCAATCCCTGAGATTCATCATCAGAAAGAAGCAAATCGCTAATCGCTAATGTCCCAATATTTGCTCAGTGCACAATGTTTGCTCCTCCGTCCAAGGTCCGCTGCATACTCCACACCAGGGAGGTCGGATGTTTGTGCAATGTGGGGCCAGTGGCCACTGCCCAGGAGTCTCACTAAGTGCCCAGCAAATCTGAGCTGCCCTCAGATGGGCACAGCCCTCTGCTTCAGATCAAAGGAATTAGATGCGACTCAACAGTGCTCTGTTACAAGAACTTCTCCTCTACTTCATGGTTGTGTGGCTCCTGTGTCTCCTCCCTCCGCGTTTCTCCTATGTGTGCTAAGCCTGTGCCTGGTGAGCTCCTTTCTACTTCAATGCTCATCCCAGAGCAGGGAGACTCACATGAATCAGCTGTCTACCATGTGCTGGATTCCAAACCATGTGGACAAACTTCCATGCCTATGTTATTTCATCCACCCAATAGTCCCAACAGGCAAAAGCTACTACAAGTAAGGGAACCAAGGGAGACTCTGTGCCTACAACAAGCAGTCCAGCTGGGATTCGAACTTGGCTCTGAACACCCCACCTCCACCCCAGAGCCCAGACTCAGTCACAACTCAATGCCTTACCAGGCTACTCTTCTGGACAAGACTTCAATGAAACCAAATCCCAATCTACGCTTATGTGCACTGTCACTCTCTGCTCCTAAACCTGATTTCTATTTCTGCACTCCGTGTTTACTCCTGCTACACCATGCACCCGTCCCTGGCTCCAGAACACTGTGTCTCAGTCTCAGATCCCACACACCCACCTAGATTCCTACACCTGGGTCTCTTCTGTAACACCTTCTACCCTTACTGTGGCACACAAGACCACGCACCCCAATCTCCACTCCCATACTTCTATATATCCCAGTATCTGCCTCCACATGCCATAACCCCATTCCTGCTCTGCAATCCTGTCTACCCCTACCTCCTCCCATAATGCCATGCACCCATCTTCTCAAATTCACCCTGCACAGGTGGCTAATACCCCACTGCTTGCTCTGGACAGCTCTCTCATTGCCTCAGGTGTGTGAACACAGCTCCCCCAAGGTCGGGAATTTCCTTGCCTGGGGCCACACAGTACTCCCCGGTGAGGGGTGCACAGCAGACACAGCTCCACAGGAGCGCGTGCCGGGGTCCCCAAGGCTGCCTCACCTTTGTCGGGGAAGCCACACTTGGAGGCCTTCCGGTCCCTCAGCAGGGCTTTGGTGTTGTGGATCTGCGTGATGAGTGAGGCCGAGGAGGGCTGCTTGTGTGAGGGCACGTTCTTGTCTGGCTTCTTGGAAAACGGTCGGTGAAGAAAATCCCCTTTCTTCTCTTGTTCTTTGGGCTTTTTGTCCTTGGAATCAGAAGCACACACATACACTCAGACACGCACGAGATTATGCAATGCGATTCCTGTTCAGAAAGTCATCCAAACAGATGAGAATCTCTAGCTTCTCATTGACCAGGTTCTGTTGACCGAGGGAAGAGCTGAGGCTGAGCCAAGACTGCCTCCAGCTCCCGGGCATGGCCTTGTTTAATGTGCACTGATGAGGGCAAGGCTAGCCTAGGAGGCCATTTATTCCAGAAGAAGAAGAAGCTGAATGAACTCAAGTAGAGCAGGCCAAGACTCAGCCACAAAGAGGGGAAACAACTGAGTCATTTATAGGAAAATGGATGTACTTTGAGAGCATAATGTTAAGTGAAATATATCAGACCTAGAAGGTTAAAGATTGCATGGTTTCTCTTACATGAGAAACACAAAATTTAATTAATTTAAAGAAAAAAATAAAAGATACCTGATAGGAAACATGGAGGTGGTCTCTGTGGAGATGGGAAGAGGAACTGGGGACAGGAAAAGATAGGAGGTCAGTGGGGGAAAGAGGAAGTAAAAAGGGTAGATGTGAAATGTATAGGTGCCAACTCCCTACGATGAGCGTAATTATTATGCATCACAAACATGTACTAATGAAACAAAAGAAACTAACAGGAGAGGCTCTGTATGATCAAAACTAAGTGACTGTTTAAATTTTTAAAATTTATTACAGGAAAAAACACACTGCTATTAACCCCCTTCAAAATACTCCCCTTCACTTTGAACATCCTTATCCTACCATTCTCGCCACCTCCTGAGGCAGTTCTGCAAGTCCTCTTTTACGAGTGTCTTTAGCTGTGCTCTCGTGGCTGCCTTGATGTCCTGAATCGACTCAAAATGTTTACTTTCCATGGTCATTTCGACTCTGGGAAAGAGCCAGAAGCCACACGGTGCAGATCCAGCACACAAAGTGGGTGAGGACACATGGTCATGTTTTCATCTGACAGAAGTTGCTGAAATATTTTGAAGTGATTAAGGACACCAAGGCAGCTGTGAAAAGACAGGAAAGATGACTTCCAGAACTGCATCCAAAAGCAGCAGGAACAACGGGCTGAGTGTGTTTGAAATGAGGAGGAATATTTTGAGGGGGATTCGTGGCAATGTCTTCTACCATAAGAAATCTTTTAAATGCACACATTCATTGTATTTTTGATCACACACTTGTAAAGTGGTGCCTTAAGGCTTCACCCACACTAATGACTTTTCAGCTTGAGATGTAGCCCCTTGCATTTTAACATTAGTGAAGACAAGGAAGCGTCCAAGATAACTGGACAACGCCATGGAACTGCAAATATGAGCACTTACTTGAAGACCGAAAACTCACATGTATGCAGCCTGTTTGCTGTAGACCTTGCCTATATGGACCGGATTGTGTTCCCTCTGACAGGAGTGAACTTGACTATTTGAAATATCTTCAACCCCACACCCTGTAGCATAAAGCCAGGGACTCAGAGACAGCATAACAAATAGTTATTGAAACGTAAAGGGAAAAAAAAGGCCAGTGGAAGCCGAACTGAACTCAAATTAATTGAGTTCGAGTTTCTGGGAAGGGTGATACCACTAAGCTCTCTTCTTGGCCCTCAACACTGTTGATGTTTACTGGGAAACATAGGCAACCACATCCCTGACCTTGCCCTGGCTGAGGAAAGAAGACAGATTTCCACATTTTTGCCTTCAACTTGAAGAGCATTTGCAATTCAAGAGAGCTCATCTATTTTTCATGTATGTTGTTGAAAAGCTTCTCAAGGAAACCCATCTCTGCACCTTTGCAACAGTGGCCTCTGTGACGAGGGAGTTGGATGCCATTGGCAAGTGGGACTCACTTTGTTCAGTTTTCCAGTGGGGGAGAAAAACAACAACGATGAAATGGAAAGTGGGGGAAGGGTGCTGGGGCTTCAGAGCCATCTCGAGAGGCAACAGCTCCCCGGTCTAAGCCTGAGTGGCCCAGCCCACTGGCGATGGAACCCAGCAAGAGGTGACACTTACTCCCTCCGCACCTGCACAGCTGTCACCCGCCTCAATGACACAGGGAACCTGATGCAGCTCTCTAATGAGGTGGATTCTGTTTTCCCCTTTAAAAATCAAGAAACAGCCTGGGGTGGTTAAATAATTCACCCAGGAGCAAACTGAAAACTCAGATTCTCACGGCCCAAGCTTGATGCTGCGAACCCTTGATGTGACTCACACAGCCTGGGTGGGTCCAGGCGATGCCAGGGTGGGAGCTGAAGACCTGACCCAGGCTGTGCAGGGGAGGGGGCCACTGTAGCCCTCCAGCTCCTGACAGCACACTGTGGAGGAGGCCATGTGCTTCACGCTGTTTTCTGATGCTATGCTTTGAATGCTCCTGCAAAGTCTGTGTTGAAACTTAACTGCCATCATAACAGCACTAAGAGGTGGGACCAGAAAGAAGCCTATAGTCCCACCTACTGGGGAGACTGAGGCAGGAGGATCACTTTGTCCAGGAGTTCAAGGCCAGCCTGGGCAACACAGTGAGATCCTGTTTCAAAATCAAAACAAAACATATTCGAAGAATTAGGACCTTTAAGAGGTGATTGGGTCATAAGGGCTCTGCCCTCCAGAAGGGGTGAAATCTGGTCCTCGTGGGAATGTGGGCTCCGAACAAAAGAATGAGTTCAGCTAACTTTTTCTCTGTGTCTTGGACATATTTCCTAACCATGTGATGCCCTGCATCATGCTCTGATGTAGTAAGAAGGCCCTTGCCAGATGTCAGCATCGAGAACAGACCTCCAAGCATCACAAACTATGAAAAATAAATCTCTGTTCTCTGTAAATTACCCATTCTCAGGTACTCAGAGCAGTAGAAAATGGACTAAGACATTTAGGGTGCTACAAAGGGAACCTCGGTGCTCCAGGTCACCTTGGTCAAGGCCAGGAGAGGACAATCATGATTTTCTACTACTTTAAGCTCCTTTGCTTCCATGAGACACTTACAGGCCACTTTCTCTAAGGCAAAGGAGAACAAGCTACACACACACACACACACATGCACACACACACATGCACGCACGCAGGCACGCACACATGCACACACACAGCATCAAAAGGGTTAAGTAAGATCTGTCCTGAAAAGTTGGGAAGAATTTCTGCCTTTAGTTCAGTCTCTGCCTGTGTCTCTCCTCATTCCTTCTTTCGCTTTCTATCTCTCTCAAAGTCACTATTTCTACCTGTTAACACATTAAACAGGAAAAAAAATGTACGTTTGTCGGTGGTAACATAAACTCGTACAACTATGATGGAAATCTGTATGGAGACTTCTCAACAAGAAAGTTCGACCCAGCTATTCTTCTAGGAATCTTCCTGAAAGAGTTAAAGATACCATATTCCAGTGATACATGCACACCCAAGTTAATGATCGCAAACTCACGACTGCTAAATGGTAGGAATGGCCAATATGTCCATCAACAGATGAATGGATAAAGAAAGTGTGGTATTTACACACAATGGAGTACTACTCTGCCATGAAGAAAGATATGCTCGAGGCATTAGAAATGGATGCACCTTGAGACCTTGTGTCCTCCCCAAACCCCCAACATCTTCCTCCAGACAACAAGAATCAGAGCTTTCATAGTAACCAGTTTCTAGGGACCTGTCAAGAATTCACTCCTGACCACTCCGAGAGTTCAAGAAACCCTGGGCTTGTCCATGTAGAAGGGTCAACTGCCCAGAAGAAACGTGTTTGTTGACAGCCAGCTGATCTCATTGCCCTCCAAGCACAAGTTACAAATGCAACTGATCACCCAGTTATACCTTTTCATTTGCATGGTTTTCTCCAAAAGAAATTTTCCAGGAAGCAGGATACTAAACTGCTTTACATAACAGATCTTTGGAGGAACTAATCTCATCCTCTCTTCCACAGGCGTGCTCCCCACCCAGTGGTGCTGCTGCCTACAGGGGCCTGGCTTCTCCGATCCTCCCTGGCCAGTGCTCCCAGTAACCATGTAGGCCTCAGGGCTGGCGAGGGAACTCAGGCTCTCGGCTCTTCCCTGCATCTGCAGTACAGTCTTGCATCCTCATGGCAGATCAGAGAGGGGACCACACAGGGCCCAGACAGGGCATGCCTCTCCACAGTACAGCTTTTTGTTCTCTAACAACTCTTTCCATCCACTGGAAATATGCTTGGACATTTACAAAACTGAGTATTTTGAAAATGTGGCCACATGAAGGATTATCTACCCCCAAACTCTTTCAGTGTCTTGTATCACTTGATGGAAGAGGGGGTGCTGGTCGCTGGGCTCCTGGGGAGAAATTTGTGCAGGTGTCGGCAGCAATGAGAGGAGGAGGCTGGGTCCTTCAGAGATCTGGTCCCTCCCAGACTCTTCCCTGATGGTTCTGCCCCTGGGAGCGTGACAGACCCTGAAGAATGACTACAGGATCCTTCCTGGAGCCCCCAGAACACTGGCATGGCAGTGGCTTGTCAGTCTGGATATCTAGAATCCACTCCTGGCTCTGTCTATAACTTGCTGGGTGACCTTGGGCAAGTCACTTCACCTTGAGCTAATTGAGCTTCCTCCTCTGTGATCAAAAGTGTGGCTTTTTGAGGATAAGCACAAATCCACATTGCATCTGCTTTACTGTGTGAATAGCAAGTGCTCTAATTTAACAGGGACGGATGCTCTCAGCTTGCCCATCACCCCAGGCTGGAGGAAGACCTGCCGCCTGGGAAACTGGTCTCTCCTCTCACTCAGAATGGACTATGGAACGTGATTCTGGCAGCAGAGGAGCCCGGGGGTCAAGGCCAGCAAAGCTGTCAAGTCCAGCCCACTGCTGGCTTTTCTGGAGTTTGCTGATTAACCTGATGACAGGGAGCCTTATGCAGCTGTTTGGAGCATCAGAGCCAGGTGCCAAGCACTAACACCTGGGATGGTCCGGGGGCCCATGGACAACTGGGTGATTAGTCTTGGCTCCTTGCTCCATTACATAAGAGAAAGACTGATTGTGCCACAGAAGAAAAGCCATGTGTGAATTAATAAAAAGAAAGCCTAGTTCATAAATTAGGCCACTGAGCTAGGAAACCCTGGACTGTTTGCAAGCTCCACCTCTTACCCAGGTAGAAACAGGAAGGCGTAGACAGGTGTGTAGTTATAGCAAGACAATGAAACACTGTCAGCACAACATAGAAAGCATCCATCTGGTCTGAGGGGATTCTGATAAAGCCACCCACTCACAGCAGGATTCTGCAGGTTTTAACTCAGAATGATGATAGTGTTTGCAGGGCCTGATGCCCAGGGCAGAGATTGGCCCATCCTTGGGATCATTCGTGATGGTGAATTTCATTTGTCAACTTGGCTAGGCTAGGTACCCCGCTGTTTGGTCAGACAACAGTCTAGATGTTCCCACGAAGGTAGTTAGATATGATTAACATTTAAATCAGCAGCTATGAAGTAGATCATCCTCCATAATGTGGGTGGGTCCTAACCAATCAATTGAAGGCCTTAAGACAAAAGACAAGAAGGTCTACAGGAAAAGCTGCCTTACACGCCTCTGGACTTGAACTGCAGCATCAGCTCGCCCCTGGGTCTCAAGCCTGCTCGCCTCCTCTGCAGATTGTGGACTTGCCACCCCCAGAACCAGGTGAACCAATTCAACAATAAAGCTCACTATCTCCTCTTCCCCCAGTGTGTGTGTGTGACAGAGAGAGAGAGAGAGAGAGAGAGAGAGAGAGAGAGAGAGAGAGAGAATATGAATGTATCTGTTTCTCCGGACACCTTGACTTAACATATCAGAACCCCCAAGATCTTACCTGCACAGCATGGAATTCAAAGTCTCTTGTCCAGGTGTCCAGGGAGGCCTGTGAAAAGCACCATTTTTCAACAATTAAGAAGCTGCACCTGCTATTTATTCCCTAAACCCTACCCCCTACCACTTCTCCTATAGCTCTGACTGAAAATTATTCATCTCAGTGTTTATACACACACAAAAAATCCAACCCCCAAATCAGAGTGGAAGTAGGCAGCAGATGTCCTGATTTATATATATGCTGACTAGATTTTTCAAGGTATACCTTTGATTAAAGTCTAAGACTCAGAACAGAGGAAGGTTCTAATGAGGAGCCCTCAGCTGTGTGTGTCTCAAACAGCAAAAAAAAGCCAAGCATGGTGCCGCACGTCTGTAGTCCCAGCACTCTGGGAGGCTGAGACAGGGGATCGCAAGTTCAAGCCCAGCCTGGGCAACTTAGCAACCTAGCAAGGTCCTGCCTCAAAATAAAAAAGGTAAAAAGGGCTGGGGATGTAGGACCTGGGTTCAATTCCCAGTACCACACTAGAACAACAACCAGGAGAAACGCCCACGGAAATGGCACCCAAATGAAGAAGCAGAGCCCAGCCAGGGCCCAAATAACTCCTCATCCCTTCCCAGCCTGTCTGCGCACAGAAGTAACTACAGCTTTGATCGCCCAGAGCACGGACCGTCTGACCTGACTCTGAACTTTGTTTCCCAAAGTTATACTGATTTTTAAATAAGACACAAAATGAGCATTTTAATGTTGCCCCTGTTGTGAGTTGAATGGCATTCTCTCAAAATTCAGAGGTTGAAGTCCTAACCCCCAGGGCCTCAGAATTTGACCTTCCTTGGAGGTCAGGTGTTGAAGGGGGTAATCAAGTTAAAATGAGGTCATTAGGGTGGGGCTGAATCCAAAAATGACGGTGACCTTACAAAAGGCGGAAATGTGGACACAGAGACAAGCACACCAGGGGATCCCATGTGAAGTTAAGGTGGAGAGTGTGGTGAGGGGTCTACAAGCCAAAGATTGCCAGCAACCGCCAGCGGCCAGGGAAGGGAGCCAGAGCAGACTCTCGCAGCCCTTGGGAAGAGCCAGCTCTCTCACCACCTGGACCTAGGGTGTTCAGCCTCCAGAACTATGCGACAATAAACTTCTGCTCAGCCGTGGTCTCTGTCAGAGCAGCCTGATCAGACTCACCCAGTCTCCCTGTTACCCTCTGTGTAATTTTTCTTCCAAAACCCCAATATCACTTTTCGCTTCAGAAAAGACCTCCCGCTTCTCTTTCACATTTTTAATGACCATTAATTTTTTAAAAGACTAACAAAAATGGCTTTGAGTCCGATATGACTTAAATAGCCATTTAAAAAAAATGACTGCCCACCTCCACCCACCGTGGTCCCCAAAGGACTCTCTGTCTTAGCAAGGGGGTCCTTCGGGCACATGCATAGGTGTTTTCCGATGAGATAGGGTGTCCCCCTTTTACAAACCTACTTCCTGCCTTTTATAGGAAGAAGAGATCGAGAGAAGAAATCACAGCGCTGTCGTCCCAACAGGGAAGGTCTTAAAACTGAATTCAGCTCATTTTTCTACTTGGAGAAAAAGACTAGAATGAAGCAGGAATACCAGGCCAGTCTGGTGCCCAGTGCACAGGGCACGGCTTTGTAGCATGCGAGCCACACCCAGCCAGCGCGCACAATCCTGACACTGTCCTCGGCTCCCTGTCCCCATCGCCCTCCACCCCAGTGAGGCCACCTCTCCTCCCACCACAGTGGCAACAGGAGTGCAAGAACAGAGGCTCTGAGCCTGGGCCCTCACAGACCTGCCCCGTGCCTTCTCTAACCGGCCCCACTCCGCTTTCTAGGTTCCGACAGAGACAAGTTGGGCGATCTCGTAATAGCCCGTTATTTAATTAGCAGTAGTACCGCTGCCGTTGGGAGAAAACACATGGATCATAGAAAATTGAAATGTTGTTTGCCCATTAGTGTTCCTATTTAAATCCTAACTGTTCAATATTTTAACAAATGTTGAAAACGTTCGCCATGTGTTTTGGGGCCAAGTGAAATAACCGTCAAGAGAAGAAGGATCTGAATGAAAGAAGGGGCCCTTTCCCTTCAGGGTTCTGGCACTTTCAGACACACGGCTGCACAGGCTGGGTGTGAGGGTCCTGTAGAGAAGCGTGCCAGGTGCATCGCAAGGTGGCAGGGAGCCACGAAGGGCACACACACTGGGCGTTCACTTCGAAGTTTGACTCGAATGCAAACCAAGAGGTAGAGGAGCCCAACCGTGAGCTCCACCCTGGCCTCAGCAGGGCGATCACCTGCAGTGCAGGCACTGTACATGGCCCCTTCCTGCCTTGAGCTGTGGCCATGCATGATGCTAAGCTTTGGGCACCACCTCACTTTAATCCAGCAAGGGGTCCCCCTGCCACAGTCCACCTCTCTTCTTGCTTGTCCCAGTTCCATCTACTTTCTGAGACTCAGGAAAGATCCCAAGGTTAATTCTTTCATTTGCTCATTTCGCAAAACACCTACTATGTGCCAGCTGGGCAGCATGCAGGCTCTAGGATACTGAGTCAATCCCTGCTCTCGAGGAACTCATAGTCCACAGTGGGAGAGAGGTGTTAGCCAAACAATACTCAGGCAAATGAGAATCTGGTACCGGGACCATCCCTGTAGTACAACGTGGTCTAACAACTGGCCTGGAGAGATGGGATCCAGTGGCGGAGGTCAAGGAACGGCAGCGATCCATGAGGAGCTGACCCCGCTTTGGGATCTGAAGACACCTGGACACTGGCTGAGCAAAGAGGGATGGGGAGAACATTCTGGAAGAGGGAAGAGCATGTGCACAGCCCCATAAGCAGAGGGAGCACTGGAAGCCCGAAAGCCATGGGAGTGGGCTGGGTGTGTGCTGGGCGTGAAGCGGCCACAGGAGCTGCGACAGGGTCATGGCATAGAGCCTGCTAGGCTTCCAGCAGGGCAGCGACAGGATGAGAGCAGGGGTGAAAAGCGGGGCCACTTAGGAGGCCATGGCAGAGGTGCAGGGAGAGGCTGGGCCCCTCAGGGTGGGCATGGAGACAGCAGAGGGCTCCGGGCTTAGGAGCGAAGGCAGCAGAGCTCAATGAGGGACTGGCTCTGCGGCTGAAGGAAGAATGCACTTCACAGGCTCCTGGGTTTCCGCCCTGTGCCCAGGGAGGACGGGGCTGTCACGGAGGATGAGTTGGGGAACAGTTTAGTTCCGGGCAGGCTAGATTTGAGACATCTGCGCTCGTGCCAAAGGAGGTCACCATGGAGTAGGAATTGGCCAGAGGGGTCTGGAGCTCAGGGACAGCTGAGCCCCTCACCACCCCACTCGCCCGTCTGCAGTGTGGAAGCCACCCGTGGGCCTGAGGCTCAGCTCCTGCCAGAGACAACACACCCTCTGAAAAGCTCATCTCCAATCTGTCACCCTGGTGCCCTGGGGCCAGCTAAGGGAGGAGGCAGAATCCCATCCCCCACCCTCCGTCCTCTCAACCCTTTGGGTCCGTCCACAGAAGCCCTGTTCTTTCTTCTTTGCCTCCAGCGTCAAGGACAGAGAGGCCGACGTTCACTGACTTCACTTCTCTTCCTCCTACTCTACCCGATCCATGCCTCCTCCACTTCCATAAACCTGGCCCCCCAAACATTCTCTAGAAAGCTAAGTGCTGGGCCAGCTCTGCTGAGGTTTTCGGTGTAACCTCTTCTCTGTTCCCATAGTCTCCCTGGCACCCTTCCCTGGCCATTCATCACCATTGTCCTGCTGGTTTCCCCTCCTCCTCTGCTCCCACGCTCTGTCTAGAATGGGCAGCCAGGCATTCCAGCCCTGGCCTCAAGTTCTCAGCTGGCCCAGTTCCTGAGTTCCAATCGTGTTCAGGCTCAGCGCCATGCACTCGAGGTCCTGGTGTTCCCACACAGGGCTAAGTCAGGTGAACCCCAGAGTGAATTCTTCCCCAGCAAAGTGCAGGACTGGTGTAATCAGGATGAAAACTTTACACTCGAAAGGTACAGAGGGAAGTGGCCAGGGTGCGATGGTGGACCCCGTTTTGATCTCTTCCCCAGTGAAGGAACTCCTGAGTGTCCTAGCAGAGGATTCTGTGACAAGGACTCAGGGGACAGGACAGAGGTTCTGGAGGGGGAATGGGAACAGGTTCCCTGGATAAATCACCAAGAAAGAAACCACCTGACCAAGGTTTTCAGGAAGCCTGTGCTCCCGGCCCTGAATCTGGAGTTCAGAGACCATCTCCTCACACACGTGGGTCTGGGTCCTGAGCTGTGACGATCTGCCACAGGACCCTAAGTTTTATTCTGAAACCAGAGAAGGTTGGTGCTTTTCTCTCAGATGTGTTTAGGTACCATGAACTCAGTGAGGAGAAAAGCTTGCTTTTATCTAGAACTTTCCCTGCTTTCATGTGGAGTTTTCCCCCCTCATCTTACTTCCTCTTCTTGACGAAAAGAAGCGAGATAGTCAGCTATATTTTGAGCACATTGTTTTCACTTTCTGGAGCTCTGACAGGGGTTTCCAACCCTGGCTGCTCACTGGAATCACCCAGGGAGTGTTACAAAATACCAACCCCAAGTCCTGCCTCCTATGGACAGATACAGTCGGTCTGCAATGCGGCCTGGGTACCAAGATGTTTCAACACTCTGGGGGACTGAGCGTGGACATAGTGAGAACCGTGGTTAGGAGCTGGTGGCTTCGCTGCTCACCAATTCTCAAGGGCTCGATTACAAGGGTATCTATGGGTACTGCCATATCCCACGCTGACTGGCTTCCTCCCCACCGATGGAAATCTTTTTTTTTTTTGTACATATGTATTGGGGATTAAACCAACGGCCAACATAAGCTACATTCCGGGCCCCTTTTACTACTTTTTAATTTGAGACAGTCTCTCTAAGTCGATAAATTGCCCAAGCTGGGTTCAAATTTGTGATCCTATGGTCTCAGCCGCCCAGCGTGCTGGCATTAAAGGTGTGAGCCACCACACTAGCAAATCGACTCTTCTTAAGAGCTCCAGGTTTGCTTCAGGTTCACTTACCTCATAGGGCTCCTTGGTGGCCCTGCACTTTTCTATCTGGTAGAGCTGGGTCTTGTAGCAGACACTGTCCTGGATGTCAGATTTCTACCAGAGAAGGAAAGAAGCATGGCTTAAGGCTTGGAAATAGAGACACCCATTAAGCGGTTATTAATTTTTAAACCAGTGCTTGGCTGAGGAAGTATAAGATGGGTGGCAAGCAAAGCAATGACAACGCGAATTCTCATTCCAGACTGCAGCCTGAGGTATGCCCTGGACCCAGAGGCAGGCTGGCTACTCTATTACAGGCTTTCCCAGCAAAGGGTCAGGTGACCTGGGGCTGGTCACTGGTTCCTTCTGGGCTTCTGTCCTTTCACCTGTACAACAGAGATGACTCTGTGATGGGAAAGGAGATACCAAATAGGTGAGCTGGAAAGAATAACTTATTTCATTGAGCCACTAAAGACATAGATCTTGCTTATTTATTTTAAAATAGGAGGCACACACGTCCCAAAAGGAAAGTCACAGCACTTCATTATATAGCTTTTAAAAGATGAACAACTCATGTAAGATCATGCAGGTGTAATCTTGTCTGGGAACTGAGAAAATTAAATGACTGATTAATTAAACAACCAACAAGTAGTTAATGAGTGCCCCGATGGCTCTCCAGCTTAAAATACATGTTTCTTGGTTATAAAAAAAGAGCAAACTAAGAAAGAAGGGAAGAATTGACAAATAATTAAAATGTAATGTTTTACTTTTTAGTTCCCCAGATTGGATTTCAAAATTATACATGGGTTGTGAGTAACTGGCTGATAAGATTAATAACTGGGACAGTGCATCCAATGCAATTAAGTTAGCCTTGTCTGGAAATTACTGAGCAGACCAGCTGTGTTCTGTGGGGATTAATTCACTCTAGGTTAAAAACAGCCATTGCCTCGACTATGCATTTTGAGACCAGGTATATGCTACAATTGAAGAGTTCAGTATTAAACAGACACAATAAGATAAAAACCCTCTCTGGTTCAAACTATGTCAGCTGAATGTCTAGGGAATGCTTTCCGTAGAGAAAGCTGACCTCAGCCTTGCAACACTTCAAACTCTGATGCTAGACAAAACTGGGGGCAGAAGGCAAGACACCCAGACAAATGAAGACACAGTCAAAGAGCTTCCGGAAAAAGTCTCTCTTGCTTGAGATGATGGGAATGACCAGAACTTGTATCTGTAAATGTGGAAGCAGCCATAAAGAACACCCCTTGGTCGTACTTGGCAAGGCAACCTGGAATGCTTGAATCTGCTAACCTACTAAGAAAAGTAGCAATGTCCTTCTGTAATATGTGAAATCATGAACTGCACAATATGCTCAGCTTCATGAAAACACTTTTACTTTCTGGACATCATTCATCATTTGAAAGAGAACACCAGTCATCAGTGTGTTAGCTTTCTTCACATACCTTGGAATCATTCGATAGCTTAACCTTTACCCTCTATAGTATGATAGTCTCCAAATGAAACCACCTTGAGCCCTTACAAGTGAAAATATTATGTGCAGCCACCTACAATAATGCATATCTATATTTACAAATTACATGCATGTACCATGTCCTCATATACCATCCATATTATAAAATATATGATAAAAAAAAGAATTAATAGGACAGGATAAGAAGGAATCCGGGACATGTGATGTTGTGGTTTACATCTAGATGACCCCTCAAAACCTCAGGTGCTCCTAGGTGAGGCTTTGGGGAGGTGACTGGATCATGGGAGCGAAATACTCATCAGTAGATTCATCCACTTATGAGTTTATAGCTCAGAGTGATATTGGGGGTGAAGCCTGGTCAGAGGAGGAGGTCCCTGGGGGCATGGCCGGAGGTGTCAATCTCCCTCCTCTATCTCTTGATCTCTCTCTGCTTCCTGCTGCATGCCTTGAGCAGGCCTCCTCTGCCAGGCCCTTCTGCCATGCTGCCATGCTGCCATGCTGCCCTGCCTCAGAGCCAGCCAACAGACTGAAACCTCTACAAACTGCGAGCAAAATAAACCTTTCCTCCTTACAGAGTGAGGCCACCCCACATTCTTGGTCCTTCTACCTGTGGTCGTTTCCTTTTCTCCTTTTCTGCCATGTTGTGATGTTGTCAATGGGGCTCTCATCAGAGGCCAAACGGATGGGTCTGCCTACTCTTGGACTCTCGGCCTCCAAAACTGAATGAAATAAACCTCTTTTTGTTATAAAGTGTCAAGACTCAGGTATTTTTTTTTATAGCAACAGAAAATAGAACAATCTATACCCTATGTCAAAAGTCATGTCTTCCTGGGTTTACCACTTCCTGCATAGATTTCCTATGAGCAACACAATCACACAGGCCCATCCCTCAAATGCAGGCTTAAAGCTATAAATCTATCCCCATAGAAGTGCTACTCCATTACTGTTTACACTGAGCACTTTTTCCTCCCTATAAAACATCATCCTTGGTAATTGGCCAGTAATTCTGTAAAGCTTTTTACTGTTGAGAGTGCTTCTTCTCATGTACATCTTTTCTTTGGTGACTCACCAAGAAAAAGGTTCTGCAACTAATTTCCTGTGGAAGCAAAATCTAGCAAATATTCTAAGCTGAATCAGCTTGGAAACATCTGCACTTGAATCCAACCATTTAACAAACCTCTTGTCGAGCTTCTTCACGTATTGAGAAAAGTTTTTAAGCCATCTCCCAAAACTCTCTGCTACTCTGGCCATCTTATCTCATGGGCATCATTTTCGTCATTTCTGCCATGGCAGGGAGAATATCATTTCCCCAATTGCATATGGATTTTCATAATTTTGCTCTAACATAGAAACCTCAAAAACAGGTTTCTAAACTATTGCTGGTAGCATTTTGTGACATATCGGTCTATCCTATGACTTTAAATAGCACTGAAAAAGCTCTAGCAGCTTGTTCTTACCATCTAGATTCTGAGCATCTTCCTAACAGAGATGACTACATGGCATCAGATCTCAAGGTGCAATACATACAGGGTCAAGGTTCTCCTTCATGAAAGTGAATTCCTAATCAAATATCAGATGGGCTTCCTGCCAGTCCTGAATCTCTGGCTGACTTCCTGTTAGATCTGGCCCACAGCTACTCTTCCAGGCATAGGCAAGAGAAATCACGTGCAGAATCCACGTTGACCTGGATCCAGTTTTCCTGGGAGAATTCTTTTTTAATCACTGTCCATTTAAAGAGAGGTGATTTAACCAACACTAGATACTGAACCCCCTTTCCTAGACACACACAAACTTCTTGTGGCCAAAGCATGCAAGGGACCAACAGGTGAGGGTACCACTGCCCACCCAATGCTGTGAGGCTGTCAACTATCTCACATGTGACATAGGGCACTTGGACTCAGACTGTGTGAATGTGCCAGGATCAAGTTGCTGAAGCTCAATTTCATTCTTATTTCCTGGAGAAGTAAATGTAAACACAGCCATTTCTCGGTATCCTTGGGTAATTGGCTCCAGGTTCCTCCGTGGATAGCAAATCCATGGATCCTCAAGTGCCTTATGTAAAATGGTGTGGTGTTTGCATGTAGCCTATGCACATCTTCCTATATACTTTAAATCTCTAGATTACTTGTAATACCTGATACAGTGTAAATTCTACGTAACTAGTTATTATACTGTTACCGTTTAGGGACCAGTGACAAGGAAAAAGTCTGTACATATTCAGTACAGATGCAATCTAAAAATATATATTTTTGATCTGTTGTGGGTTGACTCCTTCTGATACAGAATCCTTGCATACCGAGGGCTGAGGGTAGCGGCTTTCTAAAGCTATCCTTTAGAAGTAAATTCCTGACAGGCACTGCTCTTCAACTGTTATGACCAGAGAAGTCCCCGGTTTCTCTAACATGGGGAACCAAAGAGCTAAGAGGGCACAGAACAAAAACAGGCAACTGAGCTGAAGGAAAATGAGGCTTGAATTCCTCACAATTCTCCCCAGGGCTTGCCTCTATGGGGAGAGAATAAAAAAACATCTTGGATTCAAAGTGCTACCTGAGAAGCAGGTTTTGCTACTATTTTATCCCACGCTCAAGAAACTCAGCCTCACGTTAGGTTAAATAAGCAGTTTGGATCAAGTGTCAGCAACTGAGCAACCCTGGACCGAAGGCCCCACTTACCCCTGACAAGTAGCGCTCAAGTTTCTTGTTTAAGAGGAAGTAGATGGCGAGGGTGTGGCAGGCGCGGTTGGAGAGCACCGTATTGATCACATCACTGTTCTTGAAGCCCAGCTTCTCTGTCATGTGTAGCACCACACTTGGGCTCAGGTCCTCCAGGGAAATCCTGTGGGATGGAGAGTCACAACTGGTCAGCTCTCCAGTCTGATGGAAGGGCTCACAGCAGGGCAGAATAGAGCTAGGCCACACAGGCCTCTGTGGACAATCAGGTTCATTCGTTCACTTGACTTCTTTTTATGCAAGGGTTCACACACACAGAGGAGGGAACAGCACACAGCTGGCCCTGTGTTTTCGTGGGTTCCTCATCCGTGCGGTCCAACCAACTTTGGATGGAAATTATTTGAAAAGACTTTTGCCTGTGTACTGCACACATAAAGACTTTTTTCTCATCGTTCTCTAAACAACACAGTATAATCACTATTTACCTTGTATGAAGTATTGCAAGTAATCTAGAGGTGATTTGAGAGGAAGACGTGCATGGGTCATATTCAAACAGCGTGCCATTTTATGTAAGGAAATTGTATCTGCAGATTTCGGGCATCCTTGGGAGGATCCTAGATACAACTTCCCTTCAGGAATACAGGGGGTGACTGCGGATACCACCTGTGTGTCCTCACCCAGATATATCGATAGCACTTTGCCACACTGGCTTCACCACTGTTTGGGGGCGCTAAAGTATTTTAAATTACAGACATCATGACATTTCACTTATAAATACTTCAGTGCGTGGTTTTAAAGCCCAAAGCCATCCCCTACAGAGCTACAAGACCATCAACACTCGGGTAAAATCTTAATAGTCCTCTTAATATCATCTAATACCATTACATTCAAATTCCCCAACTGTGCCCCCAAATTTCTTTCCAATTAGACATCCTTTCCACAGAATGTATTTCTTGGCCATGGGCGGAGCACACATTTAGCCTGTCTTTGGGCTGGGAAGGGAAGGGATTCAGGAACTAATCAGACCACTAGAGGACCTGTGAGAATGCACAAGTTCCTCCATTTGGGGAGCCCACACTCAGCTAAAAATCGGGTTGCTCTCAGAGGGGGAAAGGCTGAAGCTTGTTCACAACTGTATTCTGAAAATAAACCCCTTGGGATAAAATGCCAAGGAAATACGAGGCATTCTTTCATTCATCAATTCATTCACTCACCCACCAAATCCCTGCCACGTGGAACTGACATTCCAGGAAAAGAGAATATAAATCCACTTAGTCCTTGTGACAGTCCTATGAGCGAGGACTATCAGCATCCCCATTTTACAGACAAGGAAACTGAAGTAACTTGTCCGTTGTCACACAGGCAAGAAGTGGCCTCTACAGAATTAAAACCCACGCAGCATGGCTGGAGTCTGGATGCTAAACCTCTACTCTCACTGCCTCTCCACAGACATGTTGAATGGCCACCAAGAACAAGAAATCAAGGTGAGGGTTAGAAGGGGAGTGCACTGGTAATGGGGGTACATCATCAGATAGACCACTAAATCCCTCGGAGATACAAATAGGGCACGAGTGGGCAGAAGACAGTCATGACTGGATGGAGAGCTCCCAGATATTTCTGATGGAGCCTCAAGAGCCGTAATGCCCAGAGAAAGCCCCAGAGTGTAACCCCTACTTGGAAAGAGGAGGAGCCCAACTTCCCTGTCCACATGGCCAGCTGATAGGGGTGCAAGGGCAGGACTAGGTCTCCTGGTGTCACCCACTGCATTGGGGTAACCTTTATTGGCGGCTCCTCCATTAGGCTGGACTAAGCGTGGCCCGAAACACCCACCTAAAACCAACAGTGAAATCTGCTTCCGCATTCCTGTTTGGCCCCAAATTATAAAATTCTAGGTAACATGTGGGAAGGGGAATGAAATAACTAGTGGTTAAAAAAAGATATTCATAACATATTTAAAAGTATATGGTTTGGGGATGCAACTCTAGTAGACCACTTGCTTAGTATGCTTGAAGTCCTGGGTTCTATCTCCAGCACCATGAAAAAAATTTTAAATAAATAATACAATTATTGGCCTTATGATGACTACAGTTTCTTGTCAAAATGCTTAACCCAGGAGGGTGCAATTGTTTAAAACTATCTGGTAACACCAGTGTAGGAATGATAATGGTCCCATCCCTAGCCAATCAGAGCACACCTGAAGCTGAGCCCCAGGCCAATCCAATCGTGGCCTTATAACCTCAGCCCCACCCTCTGTCTGGAGCCTGAGCCTTCATGGTGGGGGAGAGTGTAGAGTAGCACAGGGTGCAGGGCTGCAGGGCTGCAGGTAAGAGGGGGATATGCACAGGGGCAGACACTCCATTTCTGCCTTTTATGTATGATGTCTCCAAAACCAGGAGAGTCCTGCCAAAATGTAGGCTGTCGACCCACTCTTGACAGACAGTAATACATATTTTAAACATTTTCCAATAAGTAATGTATATATTGGGTGCTATCCAATGTCTGTTATGGAATTCGTGTTATATCTGGGCATTTGGATGATACAGAAAATGGAAAAGTGTCCCACCACACAAGGTATAACTTGAACTAAGCACATTCACAGTAGGCCCATTTTTATACTACTTTGGTCTCATGCTGTCCCGTATTACCCATGACCTGCTTTCCTCCCACCGATCTCCACAGCTAACTGGAGGGGTGGAGAGCTGTCTAGACTCCTTCAGGGAGACAGGAAAAGGCAGCCGGGCCAGCCCTGTAAAATGTCTGTGCCCAGATCAGCAAGGCCAGCAAGGGATCCAGAAAACATCTGCTGACTGACTGGCATGAACATTTATTATAAAAATTTATGCTTACAGCTGTTTTCCTCTTGCCTTATGGACATCAACTCAGAGATCCAAATGCCTCTCTAGGAGAAGTCTTTACAGAAGAGCAGTGTGAAGTTTAGGGACTTTATTCTCTCTACTTTTCTAAAAGGCAAACATTGACAACATCTAAAACAATTAAATCTGGGTTGTATGAATCTGTTTTGTCCCTGGAACAAAATATCTGCCATATACAACTTAAAGAAGCAAAGGTTTATTTTGGCTCAGTTTTCAGAGGATTCAGTCCATGGTCTGCAAGGCAGAGCAGCAGAAACAGCATGGTGGAGGGACTCTGCTCACAGCCGGGAAGCCAGAAGCAGAGAGGGAGGGCGGGAGAGCCAGAGAGAGCCAGACAGCCTCTCCTAGGGCAGGCTCCCCATGACCCCCCCTCCAGCTGGGCCCAGCTCCTAACAGTCTGTCCAGCTATGAAGTCACCAGAGGATCTACTGTTGAGGAAAGCCCCACCTCCGAACATGGGAGACTGGGGGACCTTCGGATGTAAACCATAACATGGGGCTAGAAATGCAGGGAGACTATACGCCACACTCTGTACAGAAAACATTTCCTTTTTTAAATTGTTTTAGTTCTTTCTCCTTTTATCTATAGGCTGGTAAAACCAAAAAAAAAAATTATCGAAAGTACATTTTTGCCTTAAAGATAAATGTCTTTCAAAATAGCGTCAATAACAGGTACCTCTCCCAACAGTTTATAATTCTGGTTTCCTGTCTTAAAAACTGATCACTGATCAACCTGTAGCAAAAAACGAGCAACAGGCTTTGCAAAGGCAAAGATCGTCAACGTGGCAAAACCAGTGTAGGAAGGTGAGTTTAAGTGTTAACCTACCAAAGCCTACCTACAAACCCAGGAAGAGCTACAAGGTGAGATGTCCCATCCTGATTCTTTGTCAGTGGTGTCAGTGTTTGTGGTGAATAAGGAGAGGCTCACTGTGTTTCTGATACGGCATCACCTACTTCAAGAGCCATGCAGTGAGTGGACCGAGGATGCTCATTTAGATGGTGATCACATTAACTTCACAACCCACTGGGCTGCCCGCAGTGGCCCCCTTTAACGGAAAGCATGCCTGTGTGCTACTATCTGCTGGCAATGAGGCACGGCCCCTCAGCTCTGCTTTCTGGCTCTTGTTGGGGATAGTACTGCTGGTGTCTGTTTCAGATACTGGCCCAAATTGAGCAGGTGTTGGAAAACAGCAAATCTATTTCCAGGTTCCCTTGGTAACCCAAGTAATCTAGACTCTGTCTAAATTACCGCCCATAAGCCAAATGCTAGAATTCTAGATGGCAACCAAGAGAAACCACCTCCTCTGAGGCCACAGAGTGTGTAAATTGGGTCCAGCAGCTCGGATCAGGCTCCCTAGAATGTCCACTCCTGTGTCCCCTTAAGTTGTAGAACTCCCGCCCCAAGGAGCGGCCCTGCTGCCCATCTTGGTGGGAGAAGTGGGCGCTCAGCGCTGATGGGCTTGGTGGATGTTTCCAGCACTTCCCAGGCACTCTGAGAGCAGGACCACAGAGGAACCCCCTCCCTGGGCTTTCGGTCTCCCACCTGTCCCCTCGGTCAGTGGTTCTGTGGTCCTCATCCAAGGTCAGACAGACGTGCAGGCCTGGCCTGGTGGGATCGGAAGGAAGGAGCAAGGGGGACCCAGTGACATAGTCCCAACAGTCAGAGACCACCACTGGGACAAAGGAGAAAATTCCTGGGCTTTTAGCCTACTATTTATTAAAAGCATGATTTGTGTTTTCTTCTGAGGCAGGGACTTAAAAGTGGTTTTTGCTAAAAGCTGACTCTTCACTCAGGAGTACAAATGCCCAATAGGTAACTAAAAGGAGAACAAAGCTTGCCCTTCATTTGTAAAACTCTGGATCAACTCCTTCTAGTTCTGCATAAAACACATGAGTCATTTAAGGAGTGTCTGACTAGAAGTTGGCTAAACAACGTTTGTTAGCCCAAATTCACCTACCCTCCCTTAGGATAAGAGATTTACAGGGACATTCGGCTATGCCCAGAATCTCCACTGCCCTAAACCTGTGGTCACCGTGGATCAGCAGAGCTTCACGTGACCGAGACTGCCCTTTAAGTCGTGAGGATTAGTCCTCTGGGAATCAAACTGTCCCTCAAGTCACAAGGGTTCAATTTGAACTACAAAACCAGGGCTGAGATAATAACCCATGGGACCTTGGCCTGCCTCTGCTAATCCTGAAAAGCCAGCATCCTGCTTTGTCGAGTGGGCCGATCTGAACCCCCGCATCGGAGTGTGTGCCTCCAGCCCCTCGAGGTGCAGAATTTTCCTTATTTGCTTTTCCTCTGCTTGTTAGGGGGCTGGCTTGATCTTTATCAGAGCTGTGTTTCCCCCTATTTTCTCTCACTTTTTATTAAAGTTTTTTTTTCCTGCAAAATTCACGCTTCAGTCTTAATTTCCATTATCATAAAGTAAGAGCCCACTCTCGCCAGTAACACCTCCCTGTCTGCTCTACAGAAGCCAAAGCGAGGGTACCCATTCCCTTACTCAGGATGGTTAGCAAAATGCCAAGCAAGCTTAAGAAAAGCACATGAAGTGTTTCCCTGGACTCATTTTCAACTCCAGTCTGCACCCGAACAAAGTGTGAGCTTCATGAAAGCCCCTCGGTGGCCGTGTGCCATGGGTTCCCGTGTGTCGGCCCCGTCCTGTATCCCACCGCCTGGTCACTCAGGCAAGTCCCCAGGGAAACTCAGCCTCAGTGATTCCTAAGTTTTCTTCTTGCCTCAACACTTCAGGCAGGAGGCTTGGGGCTCAATGAAGCAGCAGAAGAAGAGTCTAAGGGTGATTTTGAAAGAAACAGTTTTTTAAAAACTTAAGAGTTTAGGACTTTTAATTTGTCCTAAAATCACTGAAACAAAAATTATGATAAGACATTCTGCTTCCCTTCACAAGCCTGGAAAACAAACACACACACACACACACACACACACACACACTCAGGCCAAGGTTTCTCTAAACAGCCCCTTCGTGGGAACTGGAAAGAGGTGTCCCTCAGGGAAGATGTGACCCCTTAGAACAAGGGTTGGCATAGGGAACGTGGCCTGATTTCAGCCTCCACTGGGCCTCTGTACAACCGCATGCTGTGGCCCCGTCTATACTTCCTCTCCCACATGGAGACTGGCCTGGCTGTGGCCATGTGGGCTGGAGGTGTAGAAGGACAGCCAGGAGTAAAGGCCACTTCGTCTCAAGTGAGGAAGAGTTTCCTGGCCAGGACTCCTCGGGGCAGTGGCCCAGCCTGGTCTTGCCCTGGAAGGAGTCCCTCTGGGTAAGCCACATTACCTGTTGGGATAGGTGACATTACAGGGCACTTTGCCCATGTAATTCTCATTGAGCCAGCGATTTGCCAGGGCTTGCTGAATATTTGGCCTCTTCACAGGATCTGGTTCCAGCAGGGAGCGTAGGAAGTTGATGGCCCCTGAAAAACATCGGGTGAAGAATGGACCTGTGTTATACGCTGCACAAGATACCACTGAAAGCCACGGCAGGTCACCTGCCACCTCACCTGCCCTGACTTCCCACCACTGCTGGGGTGATCTATTCTCTGGGTCTTGAGGAGAATGCGGGTTCAGCCCCACCTCCCTAGGAATATGTGCCAATGAATCTTGTCATCGTTGTTCAGCCTAAACACTTTGCTATAGTCACGTCAGCTGTGCTAACCATAAAGTAAGGGAAGGATATGCAAAACCATAAAATCCAGACAACTCCTTGTTGTGGATTAGATCAAAAATGTTCCCCCAAAGGCTCACATGTTCTAAAGCTGGGCTTTTGGAAGGTGATTAGATCAGGGGCCATTACACACATCAGTGGATGTATCCCCTGAAGGTTCAGGGCAGACTATGCTGGTAGGAGGAGGGGCCTGGATGAAGGTGGGTCACTGGGTATGTGGCCTGGAAGGGTGTGGTCTTGTCTCTAGCTCCTCCCTTCTCTCCTTGCTTCTTGGGTTCATGGTGTGAGCAGCTTTCCACCGCTGAGGCCCTTCTGCTAGGTGACTATGGACTGAATCCTCTAAAAACCACCAAAATAAAAGTTGAGTATTTTGCCCCAGCAATGGGAAAGTAATTAAGATACTCCATTTCCTTGCATCCCAGCCAAAAGTAACTTTAAAAATGCCCTCTGTCTCCCTGCATCAAACATTTCTAGAATACCTGCTATTTATTTACCCAAGCACTAGAGACAGGAAGCTAAGTTCATCTCCATGAGGAACATTTCCATCCTTTAAGATTGTAACAAGGGTGACATACATAACATGTAAAAATATCCAACGAAGGTCACGAGCTACAAAACTGTTCAGCAACAAAACAGGCAGTAGGTCCAGATACGAAATATGGATTCCAGGGATCACTTCAATCTGAAAAGACTCCGCCTTGCTTGAGTCCTATAGCATTCTATTTTCTCATTCTATAATCCTTCTTTTATGGGACACTATTATATTGTCTCCCAGTATTTTAAAAAAATTCTTTTGTGTAACTTTATACATGACATCCAATTTCTAACATACCAACAAATAAGCCCCAGAAAATAATCTTAGTTTGCTTGGTTGCCAACTTTTTCTATCTTTTTCTCCAAAGCTATTTTTTGGTTTTCTAAGAGAATCTTGCTTTGCAAAGAAAAATCATAAAAATTCTGTCTCATTGGCTTTAAGTCGTCATTTCAATGCTGCTCTTAAAAGAACGATGGGTTTTCTATGAATAGATTTTCTGCAGGGCGGAAATAAGGCCATCAAAAGAGGACCCCCTTGTGAAGTGAGAAGCAACCCTTGCTAAGTCCCCCTCCAGCAGGTCCTAATGCAGCTGACGAGGTCACAAGGTCATCTGCCTTCACGAATGCAGTGGGTAAAGATATGTAGAGACACCATAAAAATCACATTTAATACTACAGATCTCATGTGCTTGAGGATCTAGTTCAATCCCCAGCACCACCAAGAAAACAAATTCAGTGGACCTTTGACTTATGAACTCGATTGGTTCCCGAGGGCTGGGTGTAACTCAGTCAATACAGCTGAGATCCGGGTGTTTACCTGGGCACACGCTATAGGCAAATGACTCTTCCATTAACCTAACTAACCCAAGTTGTTTGTATGTCAGGGTGGTCATAACTTGAGGGTACTAAAGTACTATAGCTGGGTCTCCAAACTTTCCTAAACTATTCTTTGTTGGTCTGGAAAGCAAACAGAACTTCAAAAGGACTCCCTGTTCCGAGCCCCTTACTCCCTTCCTTCAACACCCCTACACTGCGAGACCCATTTGGATCATAACGAGGTGCACCTATCAGGCAAAGGGAATCGAACCCGGCACGCTGTGGAGTCAGGATGCTCTCTGAATGGCCCCTCCCAGGACACAGCTCAGCCTTTTCAGACTATGATTAACCAGAGGAACAGGGATAAACCGGATGTGCGTTTCGTTCTATTTTCATAATCGAGTGCTCTACATCTTCACAAACTACTGATGAGCACAAGTAATTTTAGTCCAAATCTCTGCTGATGAATTTGATTTCTCTGAACGTCATAAGCATTGCATTACTATCCTAAAAGGACTTTGAGAACATCCTTGTAGCTCTTTAAAGTTTTTGTTAGGGTTTTGAAAAATCGCTATGTCTCTGGGGTAATAGGGATTCAAATATTCCTTACCATCCAGGACAGCCATGCCCAGCATAGTCACATGCCACCCCCAACCCTTTAACCCTTGGGCCTCCATTCTGTCCAGGAGCCCTGGGACAAGCCACATGGAGTGCTCTGTCATCCTGCTTAGCATAATATGAGTCACACATTCCCATGGTGTGAAAGGTCCTGTCCTTTACTTGCTGAGCTAGCAGCTTTCCCCAGTCTGGACCACCACATGTGAGCACCGGGATGTTATGCCAAGGCTAAAGGTGACAGATGAAGCCATCCGACTTCTCCTCAATGCTGCCTGTTGCATGTAAATGAACCCACCCACCCCACTAGAGGCCACTTCCTCATCACCTCCAGACTAAGACTAGGCTGATCTGTGATCATCCCAACAGTTAGGCCTCCTTGGAAACCTTAACTGGCACTGGCTCAACAATCGGCTGTGCTAACACTTCTCCCTTAGCTTCCTGGCAGTGTATCTGTGGCACACAACCCTCTTAATCAGAAGTGGCTGGAATGTGTTGTAAATGCTACCTACCGCCAAGGTTTGGTGATGGAAGAGTAAACTGTGTAGAATGACTAATCCCTGAAAGGTGCTCACTTCTCTGTGACATATAAGTGCCAAAAAGCAGAAAGATAAACTGGCCCAGAAGAGAGAATTGGAAAGGCCCCCAAAGCTTATGGTTTCCAACTATGTGGCAGAAAAAAAGGGTGCTTCTTTGAAGGCATGTTCTATGAATTCACAAGGGCAACAATGCTGTATTTTTTCAACTCAAATTTGGTAAAAATTCTTCAAACTGAATATAAAGAGAGTACTAGGATATAACAAATGGGATCGTCCAAATAGGAGTGGCATATTCATCAAATTAATAAAGATGCATGCTCATGACACACAATAAAATTGACATTTTCTATTTGGACTGACATTACCCAAAATATAAGGACTTAAAGACAACAGATAATGTCCTCAAACTGGGAGGGGGTACATCATACTCAATAGAATAAGGATGGGAGAGAAGTACCACAGTAGGGTAGAAAAATCCATTTTCACCCAATCACACTTAATCCTTCTGAGACTCATTTCCTCACTGGTAAATTGGAAACTTGCACGATTGTGTGAAAACAAGATGAACATAAAAAAATACGTACACGTGGTCATTCAATAAATGGCCAGAAATGGTGAAGCAGTATTTATGGACATAAGCGGATGACATCATATGGGATATAAAGTTGGACTATGCTTGCTAGGAGGAGGAGAAAATAAGCTTGGTAGAGTACAGAGGCCCACAAACAGAGGGGGCAGTCAGAAGGGCAGCAGCTGATCCCCAAGCCTGAAGTCACTCAGTTTATAAACAAGATACAATGGCCTGGGCTATGTATGCAGCTGGCGCCCAGCTCTGGGACCTACACTGGGCCAATGCTCGATCCTGAGTGCCCAAATGACTCCATCAGCCACCTTCCCAGGTCACACACACACACTCCTTTACACCAGAGTCGGCAGCCTATATTCTCTGAGCATCGATCACATGCAAGCACCACTGGAGTAAAGCCTAGTTGAAGACAGATGTTTATATATACCATAAGGAAAAGCAAATGGAGGAGGCATCAGACTCCTTAGCTGGAAAAGCAGATCTAGAAATGCAGCTGATGCTTGGCACGTCAAAACAAGTACAAAGAGGACGAGGCCCCAGTACCGCTCTCTGCTCAAAGCAGCAGCATGTGAAGTTAGATCCAACTCCTGCAGTACTCAGATTGCGTGGAACATTTTTAGTATTTCTTTTCTGCAGGGATCTTTGGACTGAATTTTAACATTTTAAGGCATATATACATTTTTTTACTTCTTTAAGGATAAATTTAATTTCCCCTAATCAAAAAACACTTAGTTCATAGGGCCGGGGATTTAGCTCAGTGGTTCCGGCGCCTGCCTCACAAGTGTAAGGTCCCAAGTTCGATCCCCAGTACCAAAAAAAACCACTTAGTTCATGATCGGCTAAGGTGAATAAAGCTCCTACGAGTAAACATGGTATGACTCTGAAGTTGTGAGAAAGATTTTCTTGTATTATTAAACTCCATGACCTTTCCTGGCTGCCCAGCCCAGGCCTGAGTTCTTTCTCCTCCTCTTATAGGCTATGTGTTCATAAATACGTCTGGCTTCCACACTAGGGTTCCACTGCCTTGTCCCAATACTTGAGTGAGGCCATTTCCATGTTTCAGAAGCTTGAAGGTATAAGTGGAAAGAGATTTCATGCTGGTGAAAGACTGGCTGTTTCTCTTTTGCTCATTCTTTTCAGCAATATTGAAAATGAAGGCTCTTCACTAAGATTAGAGGTTCCATTTGACCCAGCTATTCTCCTGCTGGGAATCTTCCCCAAAGAATTACAAGAACCATACCACGGTGATATATGTGCACCCATGTTCATAGCGGCACAATTTATGATAGCTAAAACTTGGAATCAGCCCAATTGCCCATCAACTAGAGACTAGATAAAGAAAATGTGGGGTTTTTTTAATAAAATGGAGTACTACTCAGCCATAAAGAATCAGAAATTAGAGACACTTATAGCTATATGGATACACATCGAGGCAATACTCATAAGTGAAATAAATAGGACACACATGTGTAAATACCGAATAGTTTCTTTAGTGTGAGAAACAAAGTGTAAATAAGGACTAAAAGGTATAATAAATAATGTGAAATAGGAAGAAGAGGTGCAAAGGGGAAGGGGATGTGGGAGGGGTAGGGGAAAGGAAAGAAGGGAATGGAATTAATATGACAAAATGAAAAGATGGAAACAAAGTCTTTGTAAATAGGGAGGGGTGGAGGGGTTGAAGGGAGGGCAGGGGAAGGGGGCAAAAATAAGAACCATGACATATTATATGAAGGTACAGATTTCCAGTGATGAATGTCACTATATTGTGTACCTAAAATGTACCTACAAAATTACTTTAAGAAAAAGAAAATGAAGGCTCTTCCTTCAGCCTAGAGCCCTAAGACAGGCAGAGCTCTTCAATCCTTGATCCAACTCTCCATAAATACAACCTGAGTGAGACTAAACCTGTGTAGTCTCAAGCCACTGAGAACCGGAGGTTGATTATTACTGTAGCTTAACCGGGCCTATTGTGCCCAATACAATGAGAAGGTGGCAGATCAGCAGTTCTCCAGCTCCTCAGATCCCCAGGAGGATTTGGAGTGAGCGCTGTTTACCCTTCCCAAGGATGTAGGTGTAAATATCCTTCTACCTTTCCGAATGCTGGGTCATTTAGGACAAAGCAGGCTCTGACGATCAGAGGAACGTTAGAATCACTCCGAGAGCTGCCAGTGTTTATCACTAATGCTGTTCTAAATGGATCTTGCCTGTGGGAATACAAAATGGTACAGCTGCTCTGAACAAAAGTATGGCAGTTCCACACAAAACTAAATAAATACCTGTATGTGCTTCCTATCTGACCCTGCAGTTTTACTCTTAGGCATTTGTCCCGGGGAAATGAACCGTGTTTACACCAATACCTGTACGTGAATATTTATAGCATCTTTACTCATGACAGTCCTAAACTGGAAACAACCCAATGGTCATTCGCTGGGCAAATGGTTAAACAGTACTGATGTCCACGCCAGGGAACACTGCTCAGCAATAAGAGGAAACAGAGTTCTGAGGCATGCAGCAACAGCAACTCGGGTCTCAAATTTCTATATAGCATTTTTGAAGTGACAAAATTATAGGGACAGAGAACAGGGTAGTGGGGCAAGGGTTAGGCAGAGTAGAAGGACAGGATGTGGCTGTGGCCGTGAGGGTAGCACAGGATCCCTGAGATCAACTACACCATGTATGCTCCATGAACTAACAAGTGTGATGAAATCGCTCAGAACTAAACACACAGCAGCGTACACACGAAACCATTCAGAACTTATGAAACTGGAATAAGGTCAGGAGCTGTAATCAACAGTAATTTGATCAAATAATACGCTACCATTATACCAGACCCTGCCATTGGAAGACACTGGACGAAGGACAGACGGGCCTCTTATTATTACAACTGTGTGTAAATCTTCTTTTTAAAAATTCTTATTTGTTTACAAAAAAATAAAACTATGCCCGCTATTCTCTACCCCCATATCCTGATGTTTTTAGTTGGAGCATAAACACTATCAAATATCACACATTTCTATATTCTTTCCCACTGATAACAGCGTACAAGCTCAGGAGGGTAAGAGACTGTTCCTCATCTTCCTGCCACCTAGAACACACCCAGCACGTAGCTGGTGCACATTTCATATGCATGGAGTAAGTGAATGAATATGAAATATGAGTGAATGAATGAACATTCTTCACAGTGCTTTGCAGCACTTTCTACATTTCTGGAAGCACTAAAACTTAAATATAACAATTCTATCACCAGTTTTGCACATTTCCTAACTCTGAAAGTTATGGCTCTCAGAGAAGAAATATTTTTAGAAGACAGAACTGTAACTTATCTTCCCAAGGACATAAAGCCTCCTTTGCCAGCAACCTCCAGGGATTCCACCCTCCTTCACAAAGGTGAAAGTATGGCCAGAAGTAGATAATTATATACTGGAACTCATTTCGGCTTGGATTACATTGGCAAGCACAAATTCTGGGTCAGCTTTGTGGACACTTTATTAATTCAAGAGACAAATACTTAACAGCAGTAAAATAAAGTGCTAGACTTTAACCATGTATCATAAGATGAAGTTAAATAGCTGGTTTGGTTTGGTTTTTGAGATAGGATCTTGCTTTGTTGTATAGCCTGGCCTTGAACTCACAATGTAGCTCAAGCTGGCCTTGAACTTGTAAGGATGCTCCTGCCTCAGCCTCCCGAATGCTAGGATTATAGGCTCGTGCCACCACGCCTGGCCTGAATTCTTCTTTTATTTTTTGGTCAAATGCCTCATCCCAGTGAAGCTGAGTTTATCTAAGAGGACAATTAAATGACCATCCAAACCAAGCCTAGGCCACATACTTGATATGAATTTTGATGTAAACAAAAAGATTTAACTGGGTTAATTTACTGGATCTGAAACCAAACCTTAATACAAACTGTTTACTGAAACGTAAACCAGCTAAAGTTTGAGAGTACTTTTCAAACACACCTGATGATTAAGTCAGATGAGTAACTGAACCTCTATACATTGAAAAGCTTTTGAATAGGCTCAAAAGCTCACATAACCCAACAAATTACAGTACAGACCCAACCTGAATGAAACTAATATTTCTTTACAGTGAGTTGACTAAAGAAAACACAATAGAAATGGATTATAAACCTTCTTTTCCAAGCCAAGATTATAATATGATGAGTTTTAAAACAATCAAGCCTGCAATTATTTTCCAAGTAGAGAACAGAAGATCTTTTGATATGTGCGTTTTGTGCAGAAGGAGGAAGGAGGAAGTTGGGGTTTTGGAATTCTAAAGGAACAGAAAAAGATACAGGTGAGTGAAGGGAGTGGCTGGCCAGAGATGGGAAATCAACCACCCCTTGAGACTTCGCCTTAACAGTGGGAAGAAACTGACCATCATGGGATCATTATAACAGCACTGCTGCAAAACAAAATACTGCTTCACAAATGGCTCCAAATCAGTCTGGGCAAAGGTCCTTGAACTTTGAGTCCAGAGCAGCAGATGCCTTACCTGTGGACAGCTGGGTGGGGAGGGGGTTCATCTCTTTGTCCACCATCTTCTGGTACAAAGCCCTCAGGCTGAAAGGCTCCACTGTGAAAGGCAGGGTCCCAGTCAACATGGCATACATGTTCACACCTCTGAAAAGAGAAACCAAAGCATGAAACCAGAATGCAGCCCCAGGGTGGGGAGGACAGAGGACAGAAGCTTCCGTGTTGCCGCTGTGCGGTCCTGTGACCTCAGCAGTCCTCCTTCCTAGCCACCCTTCTAGACCCTCAGCAACACACTGCTGCATAGACACTGAAAGGCTCTACCCTGGCTTCTGGAGATGAGCAAGACTGGAGCTTCCAGAGCCACCCTTGAGGACAGAACCACCACCCTCTCTGTTTTCTCAATCATGTACGGGTTGAGCATTCCTATTCCCAGATTCCAAAATACTCCAAATTCTGAAATTTTCTGAGTGCCACCATGATGTCAGAAGTGGAAAATTCCACCTCTGGCCTCACGAGACAGGTTGTAGTCAAAGCACAGGCAAAGGAGAGGTGCTGTGTGACATTACTGCCAGGCCATCTATATGAGGTGTCTGTAGTACATCAGTGAGCTTGTGTGATTAGATTTGGCTCCCACTCGCAAGATATCTCATTAGATATATGCAAATATTCTAAAATCTGGACAAAAAATCCAAAATCTGAAACAATTCTGAGCCCAACCTGCAGTGGGAAGAAGTGAACAGTAAGGAATTTCAGACGAAATTATGGAAGATATTAGGATGCTCAGATAAAAGTAAGTCCTGCTGTTATGTGGTCTTCCAAGTATAATTTATAAGGTAGCATCTGGAAGAGGCCACACTAAAAGCTACAGGGCAAAGACTCATCTGGGAAAACCAGTTCCAGGTTGGATAAGCCCACCGGGTCCCCACTCAGCCCTCTGAAACCAGAGCCTCCCTCCTAAATCCAGTGTTTTGCTATCTTCTTGAATTTTGCCTTGGCCTGTCACTGGACATTCCTTCCTCCCCTCACTTTTTATTTTATGACTTATTGTGTGACTGGCACCTGGCCTTGGCCCAGTATCTCAGCTGTGGTTGAAATACCTTCGGAGTGGGCTGAGCTGCTTATATCCAAAGCCAATCAAGCAGTCTAGAGAACAGCAACATCTTCTTGGAGGTTTTTTCTTTTCCTGACGTGCAACCCTAATATCATTTTGATGAGATTTCCTGATGGAGACGAAAAGCCTGCCAGGCAAGGAGTCTCCACCACTCAAAAGCACCCAGAGGAATATGTTTTTAAAATGGGCAATGGGATTTCTGTCAAAACAAATCCAACGAGAGTGACTGAAATTAAGAAACTTGAGGCCTAATTCCACTAAGGCGCCTTGGAATTACTGTGTTCCAGATAATGACAGGTACCGGAGCCCATGGGCTCTGGCTAAAAATCATTCTCAAATTTCAGACATATGGTAAGACGGGTTCCTGACCTGAACTCACAGTGGAGTTAGGAAGACAGACACACAAATGTTCATTCCACACATTCTTGCAGAGTGCCTCTCTGGCCCACACAGGGTGTGGTATTGGTGAAACAGAGAAGGATGCCACCATCTTGGATTTAGGCTTGGGGAGAAACAGGCCATTAATAAAAACACACATGAATAAATGCAGCCCTTTCTAGTGGTGAAATGTGCAAAGGGAAGAAGAAAATGCTAAACTACACCGCTTCTGATCACAACAGGAGTTCAATTAAGGGAGACAAAGGACTTACAAGTGAGCGCACAAAGACAGAGAAGCCTCTTGGGTAGTGAGCATAATGTGTACGAGTTTTTATATCTCTGGCTGGCTGGACATGAGGATGGGGAAGATAAACTGCATAAACCAAGAAACAGAGACATGTTGGGCAAACCTGTAATCCCAGCACTCTGCAAAGCTGAGACAGGAGGATCTCAAGCTCAAGAACAGCCTGGGCAACTCAGCCACTTAGCAAGAGTCTGTCTCAAAATAATAATAATAAAAAAAAAATTTTTAATGGCTGGGAGGGAAGGAAAAGGAAGGGAAGGAAAGGAAGAAAGGAAAAGGAAAAAGCAAGCAAGCAAGAAAGAAAGACAGAAAGAGAAAAGGAGACAAGAATAAGCAAGGCATGTGCCTAGCTGTTCAGAGCAGTGATTCTTGGTGTGCATCTAGTGGAACACATTCCCGGGCTAAGAAGAGACGGGAAGAGAACGAAGTTCTATGGCCAAATACTTGGGAAGTTGTCATCTCCTATGAGTGGATCAAGGGGCTCAGAATGGGAGCAGCAGAGTGCAGCAGCAGATGCAGGGTGTTGGTCTTTGAGTCGGACAGAAAGTCATAGTGTGCAATGGAAGGACAGCAAATAACCACCAGAGACATTCCGAGGGATCGTGCCAAGTTGCAGATGTGGGAAGCTGAACCAACGGTGGAGAGGGAGACAAAATGGAGGGGGCTGAGGAGACAGCTTGGGGGACCTGGGAACCTACTATGCAATGCTGCATTTAGACATATTTAAGGTAGAACCAAACATCTTTGCTTCAGAGAATTTGGGGAGACTGATCAGAGGGAAAGCTAAAACAGCCTCAAAACTGTGAAATTTCTATTTAAAAAGAGGCCTTGCTCACATGGCTTGAGTGGATGGAAATCCCCTGGCACATCCCACCAGGTGGCTGGGGACCACAGGAACCTCCAAGGCAAGCTGTCCCCAACCTCCCTAAGGTAGCCTGCCCATCTAGCCAACTCCAGGCCTGAGGAAGGGCTTCCCACTACTCAGCCAAAGTCTACATCTTCTGTGCATTGGCTCTCCAACAGACTGGTTGCTTTTCCACGGTGAGCACTTTACATATTGAAAACTGGAATCAGGACCTCCCTGCCCCAGGCCCTTTGCCTGTGCTTCATGTAATATGGTTTGGAGGCTCAACAACCGGGCTCTCTGCCCTGAAAATACACCAGCTGGTTCATGTAGTTAATTAGTGCCAAAGTTTTCATGCTCTGTAACAAAGAACTGATTCTTCAACAGAATTTGACTGAAGTAAGCACGAGGAGGGGGCGATGAAAGGATTCTATCCATGCTTTCTTCTGTGTACTTCATCTTATCTCTAACATTCAAACCCAAGACTAAAAGTCCTGGTACTTACACAATATGTCTTCCATCCCCAGTACTGCAAAAAGTTTTAAAAATAAAACTTAAGAAAAGTATAACTCACTCATAGTGAGTTAAACTCTATTTATTTATTTATTAATTAACTTTTTGTGGTACTAGAGATTGAACCAGGAGTCTTCACATTGAGCTACATCCTCAGGGCCCCTCCCCTACTTTTTAAAGACATGGTCTCACTAGGTTGCTAAGTTGCCCAGCCTGGGCTCAAAATTGTTGTGCTCCTGCCTCAGCCTCCTGGGTAGCAGAGGTTACAGACGTGTAAGTGGTTTATAGTGCCCCCACCTCACACGGTGTTTCTCAGAGCGAGGTACATGGATGCATTCCCAGGGGCTGATTTTCTTTCTGATTATGTAAAAAAAAACAAAAAAAACAAACACATAAAAATCTTTTACAGACTGGAACCAGGACATCCAGATGACCACCACATAATTAAGGACCCCCTGCACCATACACAGACTCGATTTCAATGCCTACTTTCACACTGGAGTTGGCCAATACACAATTTTTCCTAAGAAAATCACTTTTATTGTCAGAGGTTAATGAGAGAGGAGCAGAAGTAGACTTAATTTGTCAGGAATGCTTCTTAGCTTGAATCTGTGGAAAGTCTCTGGATAACTGGAATAGGGCAGTGGTTCCCAAAGTGTGCTCAGCAACATCAGCACTGCCTGAAAACTCATTGCAAATGTGCATTCCTAGGCCCCAATTCAGATTCAGTAAATCAGAACCTTAGGTCCCTGAGATCTGTGCTTTAACAAGCCCTTGGGTGCTCCTGGTCCACGTCCGAGTTTGGAAGGACGAAAAGTGGGAGAATTAAGTTATACCAAAACGGGTCTGACAGACTCAAAGAACCTGTGCCCGACAGGGATAACTGCACTTAGACTGTGCTCAGGCAGCTCAGGTCCCACTAAACATCAGCCACTGCATTATATTAAAACGTGCTTAGTTGGAATATTTTGGAGATCTTTAGTCTCAGTCATATTTAATTTTCAAGTTGATTTGGGTCTTTAATTGTACAAGGTGTAAATTTAAACAGTTTAATTCTGAGTCCATGCACTTATAAAGTAACATTTAAGTAAAAATAATCTAAGTCAACGTGGAAGTTATCAAGAATGTTCTTCCTTTAAAAGGAGAGCATAGAACACTCAATTTGAAGACTACTGCTGTCTGGCCTTTTTATGTTCCCTTTCATCTTTGGGGACACATGGCTTCATGTCACTGGAGGGGAACATCAAACAGTGCAGAATGCACCCAGGAAGTAGGATACCTCTGTAATGGTGAGGAACTCCAACTTGAGGAGTTTGGCGAATGGACGGAACAAGAGGACCAGCTCTTTCATGAAAGTTTCTTTCTTTAAGGAGACCTGGAGACCAAAGTGTTTGCCCTCTTATCATTTATCTGCTTCAAAAGATGACCAAAGTCTCAAGTCACAGCATGTTCCATTGGTCTTTGTTCTCTTCAACCTCTGGCTTGGACCACAGATAAAGGCAACAGAGGCTTTTGTTAAAGAGGGCACCACTGCACTCTGTGGTCCAACCACGATCCAGCAGGCGCTTTCTACAGAAACTCTTGGTTGTTTTATCAAATGGACTCCAGAATTACAGCTCTCTTGGAGGAGTTAATCTTCAACAAAAACAGTCACAAATCCTTATACAGAACCTAGCTCTCACCCCAGGGCCTTTTATCTATAAAATATGGATAATAAAGCTGCCTACCTCTCAGGTCGTATGAGAGTCAAATGAATGAAGCTGGAGGAAGAGCTGAATGCTGTGCCTGGCATCAGTTAAGTATGCAATAAATGTGATCTTACGTTTCATTAAAAAACTTAACAGGTAAAGAGCTGCAATTACACCTGTGCTCTATTGCAAAATAATAATGGAAACCTACATTGGTAGTCAGATAGGCCTAGGAGAATTTCAAAGGGAAACCAGATTGGGTATTTTAATTCCTCTCCCCTAGAGTTTTCATACATGTTTAATATCTGG